GAACTTTCAGTCCGAGTGCGCAGGTTATTTCAGCACATCGGTTTTGCTCCTCCGTTTGTCTGCCTTTTAGCGATTCGCTAGTGGGTTCTAGGACGTTTGAACATATCACTGTCATCGCCTTTTGGTTGAGTAGTAACCGTTTGTTCTGCAATTCCTTGTGAACGGGGATTTGTCGTGTGGGAGTGATTATCTTGTCTGGTGTGGAAGACTGGCCAAAGCTAAGGCAAGGCTATGAGTAACGTCGTTAATCACACTTTCCCTAGGTCAAGTGTTGTTGTCCAGCTAGTAACCGAGGTGATCGCGCAAGTTGTGCACAGCTTTGCATGCCTTGCAGGATTTCGCGAGATTTGGGAGACCGATCTAGCGGCATGTCGTCATTGTTCTTTGCAACCAATCGTGGTCATTTTTCGCTGGACTGTGTAGCATTTTTGCTAGAGAGTTAAGATCTTTTAACAGGTCTTGGATTGGGACTACTTAATACATTAATATGCAACTCGAGTTTGGAGTTTTGTTCCCAATACTGCGATCATTTCCCTTTGCTCTAATGACGTAGCAGCTAACGTTTCACATCTCATCGTAAACGATTGAACAAACCCACCTACGGGACTAGCTGAACATGCGTCACAGAACCACATCATACCTGTCAGTACGCTGCTCTTTCCGCTACATTTTATGTTCACGTTTTTGCGTCGTAGGATTTGGCACAGAACGAGCACGGTGCCTCTTGAGGTAAACTCTGTTGTCAGTTTGCCCCCGCTACCATTGACGTTGAGTTTGTAGTTAACTGGAGATCTGACGGACAAACTTCTCCGCCCCTTGGTTATGTGGCTTTTAGGTCCCGCTGGTCACAGCGTTTGGGCTGCCTCAGTTGCCGCCTGGTCAGCCGGAACTGTCGTCGTGTCAGCGGACTTAGTAGTGATGCGTCCTCGGCGCACGGGCAGACAAAATACACAGGGTTTGTGCAGTAAAATGCACTTAAACATATAGTAGTAAATGTGAGACAAAATAGGATGTAGCTACGGTGAACAGTGTTACACAGTAGTATGTTATATCTTGTCTGGCAGCTCTGCCGAACGGTATCTCAAAGGTATCTCAAAAGGTTAAGGTTTCACATGTTAATCCTAGCGAATAAACTGCCGAAGACATCGCTTGTGGTGCACCAGCTTGTCGTTGGACTTACTTCGAAAAGATAGATCCCGTTGGTTAGAGCCCTGTGACCCGAATTGATTGAGCGTACTTTCGAAGAGGTGGCACAAGTATATAAGGGGATAAGTCCAATTTAACACAAAGCCCAGGACTGCACGACTGGTACACATATCAATGACAAGAAACACCAGCACGCCGTTGTGCAATGATTGAATTGCTTCATCCGACAGTTTAAATCATTACGGACAGCTGGATTCTGAGGCACACGTTTCCGCAGCGGCAAGATCAAGATCAACACACCACATTGGTCTCCAGTGAAGTTGGAGGTTGAGTGGTATTGTGTGTTCGCAGTACAAAAGTGCACCAACCCCAGCTTAAATAGGCAAGCACTTGATAGGTTATGTGGTCATGACGTAGATAAGCAGGGGATGCATGCAGTAGCACTGGTTTAGGCATAAAAACAATCGATGGTATGTACCACAACAGGGCACTGTTGACAGCTCTCAGCAGCTGCCGTGTGTGCTACGGAGATGCTCTAATTGAAGGATGGCAACCCCTTAGGTAAAATGATAGGTGTTACCCGCTGCAATTTGTACGTGTCTGACTTCATGTGACAGAAATAGCAGCATTAAGAATTGAACCCAGGACACGTTAGGATAACCTGCCGAAGCGTTTACATCTCGCCGCGGAACTTCAGTTAACTCCTGTCACAACGACCAATGATCAAGTATGGACCATTTTGAATAGCTCAGTAGTGTATGCCCAGTAGTGTATAATGAGATAAAATAAATGGCTTTACATGGTACAGATGATGGCAGATACAAATACAAAAGAAGCGCAAAAGCAAAATTTTTCTGGCGTGAAACGTGAAATATCAGTGGCTTAGGTATAGCGCTTCGCCATACTATTGTGTTTTTTATGGGTCAGTGGCTCTGTGAATGGCTCTGTGAATGTTGCGATGTTTATTTCGCTCACCACATGTGCTGCCAATGTATTCTAGTGTGAGCAGATTCGTAGAGTGGAATAGAGTTTATACAACTCTACACGACGAATCGTGTCCTTACTCCGTCGGTTAAACTCACGCTGTCACTGTCCAGCCGTTCACACATCCTTGACCAAGTTACATGTATTTGCAAGGCCGAATACTTGGGCATGACAGAACGACAATTGAGGGTGAGGGTCGCGGAGCACATACCGGCGTGGATGAGTAAACACGTTTCGCAGATGGCCACTTCCACCACCTCGAATGCTCAGCCAAGGAAACGAAATGTAGTTCCCTACAAACAATTAGCTTCATCAATCGTCCGCCGTCTGCTGGCTGACAACAACTGTGTAGACCCCGTGCAGGCGTTCCGTGCTATCTATGCATCAATGAACCCCAGAACTTTACGATATTTTGAGGCCGTGGCTAGTAAACAACTTGGCCGAACTCTGTGCGTGTAGAAAGACGTATTTGTGACCCTGGTCCTGCCGTGGTAGCAGGCCGGGAACAGATGACAAAGTGACATGAATTTCGGTGTGTACAGTTTGGTCAATTTGCCATTTTAACTGCGCTCCTTTCACGTCTGGAGTACGCACTTGAAAATATGAAGAGAAATTTTTCAGGAATTAAATCATGCGGCACTCTTGTGTTAACCTATCTGCTAAAAGTTTCCTCGTGAAGTAATTGTTTCAAATGGGTGTGTCGAGATTAAGTTTAAGGTCATGACCTGAGCACTGTTCGTAGCGGATCAGGATCAGTAGTAATTTACATGGATGATCGCTTTTGAGTAGTGTCCGGTATGCGAAAATGCAATCTACGCGAAGCTGTCGGAATTCTGAAGAAAACACGCCGAGTAAACTAAGACGCGGGTCACAACCGAGACTGCAGAGTCTACGTGTTGCCTTGGTACTTCCTCTTTGGCAATGCCATTGGAGACAAAGGTCTCATTTTAATCAAAGACATCAGACATGAACTGCATATTCAACGTAGGGACGACTACATGAGTCAATCAGCGAGTGTACTAGCTGTCGCTCAAAGGTGCCGAGAATTGGCCTTAAAAGTCTTAAAGTGGAAGTCGCCACCTTTGCTGCTCTCGAACGTTGCAGCGAATTTCCCGGACATTCTTTTATAGCGATAAAAAGGTCTATATCCCTAGCCATGTGTTGCAGAACATACTGCTTTATTGAATGTGTGCTGTTGCATCGGTTGCGCAGCTGCAGCAGGTCGCACTTTCAGGGTTCAGAAGAACTGGTTTATTTCTGTCCATTCGAAAAGCCGGACCAGTTGCTTTTGGAAATAGTGGCGGTCAGACGTTTAACATTTGTAGGGGAATTTGTAGAGGAATCGAATGTGAATTGAACGCGACACATTGTCTCAATTTGGATCGTGATTCAACTGGCAGTGAATCATTGTGTCCCATCTGAAGCAACTTGTTAGGTGTTACCCGCTATAATCACTGCACATGATGCTGGGTTCCGTTGTGTATTAGACTAATGTTACAGGGAGATAGCGTACACCTAGCGTTCAAGCCAAGATCAAAGGCGCAAAAGTGGAGATCGAATTCGAGTTAAGACCAAAACTCGAACCTATGTGGATCAGCGGCAAGTTGGAACATGAACTTGAAGTGTTTGAGTTTTGTTAATTATTAGTAATTAGCATCTACGCTATTGTTATGTTATTAGTTGCCTACAACCTATTTATTGCGCCATGATCTCATACAGTAGAAATCCGTCGGTCCGGGTGGTCTTGGCCTTCTCCTTTCGTTACGTGTTGAACTGGTTGGGCCGGCACAACTGAGTCAGGCAGATTATCCGTAAATCCAGCGGCAACCATAACAACTAGTCAGGCAGATATAGCAACACTGTGACTCGACCCCGAGCATTACCGATTACCAACCGAAACACTGTGTTATTGAGTCGCAGCTGGCGGCGTCCGTTACACAAGCAATCGACTTATTGGGTGTTCATCTGCAAGTCCGGTTCTTCAAAGCACAGCTGCCATGATTCTCTGACTGTCCTTATTGCTGTATATCTTATCATTCATCGAAATACTTATCTCACGCCGTACCCTTGGATGAGTGAAGCTATATAAAGCCATGGCTGGCTTGCCGAACAACCTCCTCGTGGTGCCAGCTGGGTGGTTCGGGATTTTCCGGTTCCAGCAAATGGTTCACGGCAGTGTTCCAGGACGTAGTGGGTTTTCGCCTGGCAAGCGTTCTCCCTATAAAAAGCCACATATGTCCGTTTAACAACACTGTGACGTGGTGGACGTTACTCGCCACTAAATAAAGTCACTGCCCCTTGCTTCATCCTGGCGAAGCATTGTATTCCAGCAAGTTTATGCTGTGATTTTGGGGAGCATTGGGCCCCTGTTTGACAAAGGAACAAACGAAAGGCGTATGAACTGAGCAATCAGTCACCGGCCCCCAATGGGCGCGATTCCCTGAATTAGCTCCGATGCCTTGTGGACAGGCTAATCAGCCAAAGGCTCGGGGTGATGTCCCCTATGTTAACACCCGACTTCGGCTTGGGAAACCCGGTAGTATCTCGCCCTCTGACGAAACCATGGATTCTGATGCGTTGTATTGTGTTTTCTTTCACTATTTCTGTACCTTGTTTTGAGTTCCATGGTTTCCGATGGCTCATTGTCTCTTCATAGACAGTTGCCATATATATATATATATATATATATTTATATATATATATAGCCATGTGGAACAAATTGACGCAAGTATCCATGTCAGACTGGAATGATAGAACCTCTAAGCCACCTTACATTCTATGTATGCCCTTGTTAATGTTAGGACCCATCAACACTAGCAATCAACCAGTTGAAACCAAACGCACGTTTGTTTTAAACTAACGGTTGTTACCTGTCCCATCCGTTGGTCTGCTCCCGGACTTAACTGCAACTGTTCACCCAAACGACTCAGAGTCCGATTCCTTTGGGCCAGTTGAACATCACGTTGCACGATCTTCTCGGTGAGTTCATTAATTCGATCCCGTTGCTTCGAATGTTCACTGACAACCTCGCTGGTCTGAAAAGTAAAAGACAGAGCGTGAGTTTGTTTGTGTGTGTGTGTGCCTAAAAAGTGTAATTCACAGTAAGGTTACACAGTGAGTTGCGTACGATATGTGGAAAGGAGGCATTGGTACGAAGTTACGATGCCCCACTCACATCTGCAGAATGTGTAAGATTAATTAGGACATATCTGTTCCATGCAATTATCTCAGTGCACTACGGATTCGTCGTAGCAGAATAACGTTGGTTGATGGTTAGGTTATCCAAGTGGTGAAAATGGACACTATGTGGCATTGAAGCATGTGTATGGTCAGCTATAAAAGAGCCGATTTGCAGAACGGTAGATCTTTTGTTCATCAGCATTATAAGGCGATGGATGCTAAAGATGGTATGAAGTACACCGGCAATCATCCAGTCAAACGGTAGACCTACAGTTCTGATGAGTAGTGAGGATTTTTGGTTCAATCCAGCTAATTCATCATCGCCACTCCCAATCAACAGGTTTAGGCTAGTCTGGAAAAGCACCAGACACCGGCCTTTCTACCTTCTGAGTCTCGTCAGTGGTGTGCCTCCTAGCGGAACCCTGCCGGATTCCGTCCCCATGACTTCAGGATGCCAGCAGCTAGTGCCATTTCGCCATGGGTGACAGCCGTAGACCTGTGTGATTGGCAGTTGACTATGATATAGCCCAGCTCTTCTTCCATTGCCATGCCAGTTACAAACTGTGCAGAGGACAATGGCTAGCCTCACGAGCTACGGATTTCAAAGGTTGTGTGGTGCATAGCTGGAATACGAGCAGCAGGGGTACTATGGACCGCCACTGTTCATCTAAAATGTCCGAATTGAAGAACGAGGGAGGATAGACCAGGCTGCGTCGCAGTTAGCTTGTAAGAAATGACGGTCCGTAAACGTCACACATCGCTTAGTGGCATAACTCGCCAGCGTATAGCACTCATGTTCGATTTCCGGTGGAGCCGCAGTACACACCCTACTGATCAGTTTCAATAAGAAAAGACAATCGTCTAGTGCGTTTTCCTGGTTGCGTGAGAGTTTTCTGATCAGGAGTAAATATGAGGGCTTCTCATAAAATTCACCGCAGTCCTCTACTCATAAATATCCAAATTGCTGCAAATTCGGTTCTGTCAAACGAGAGAAGGTTTGGCGAAGACGGCAGAGTGTAAAGAAGAAAGTATGGACAGCTATGCAAATGATCTTCTAAGAGGTGGGGGTTGTCGCGCACGTAAACTTTCCGACAATAGCATAACTTTAGGTGCTGTCATGAAAGAAGCTCACGAGATGCTTCTTTACCTCTTTCCACAGCGCTGATCATATCGCGGTGTTGGAATCCCGTCTTGAGTACTAAACTGACTCTGCGAAATGAAAAGTCTCCAGTGTTTCAGAGAGAACCGGCATCTGCATACAAACCTTAGATGACGTATGACGTGATGGGTTTAAACAGTTAAGATCACATAACTTCTAACTCATATCCTTGATTTTCCCCACATATTCACGCTTTGAAATTACCACTTGTAAAACGATAATAACCCTAAAGCCTTTTGTAACCTGCCATCGCCACAGTGATGTTACGTATGGGGTGCAGAAATTTAATTCACGTAAGCGTTTGGAACAAATCCAAAGCAAATTTATTTTAACCCCCTGCTTTTTCGCAAGGATATTTAGTTTCAGCCGAGTCTCCTGCTAGCAAATATGGTTTCATTGTTCATTCCAAAATGATTTGGTTGCATGTCAGTTTTCTATTCGCTCGCTTTTTCTATGAAGGTCAACACTCCCTGGATTCCTGAATTCTTCAAGACAAACAAGAGGCATTGAAGGGGAGCAGTAGCTAATTGGCAAGCAGAGGTCAATACGAGTGGCTGGTGGACTTCATTGCGTTGACAAATATTGGTCCACTCGGATATATACGAGTACACACGCTTGAACAATGAAATATGAGTTATTATGATCAAAAAGGCGATTATTCGACAAGTCCCGTAGGATAACATGAGTGAGGAGTATAAAGCCAAAGGGGGAAATAGTAGGAAAAATGGGAAAATTGGGTACTAAGCGACTCACTAAGCTATTCACTACCTTGTGGGGTGGGCTGGTGACTGCATCGTTTGGTTCGCGTTATTTCATCCTCTGAGTAAAACGAACTTTATCAGGTAATGCAAGTGGGGCATGGTGTCATCAAGGCGTGTTTGAAAAGCGTTAGAGTTGGGGTAAAAACGAGTGACTTGGAAGAGCGGTCCAGGTTTTCGAAACCAACAAAGAGGAAGGGTTTTGTCGACTATCAAGTCCATTGTGCTGTGTAGCTACTCAGGCTAGTTTTGTGGCTGATTTAAAGCATATGTGATTTACGTTTTTGTCACTGTTACGTAAACTATGATGTAATCTCCTCACTGACGCCGATATTCACAGTTGTCCTATCCCAGCACTAGTAAACCTGCGTTAGTAAGAGACGTGAAACAAACCTCCAACGAATTTGGTGGCTCTAGCTTTTGGAGCTTCAATCACACCAAATTTCGTGTTTGCGGCAAGGACGAAAGCATTGATCACGTACTCCAAATTGGGTCTCACGTAAGCATTCAGCACTTGCAGAAAGATGGATGGCTCGAAGTTTCGGAGAGCCTTCCGTTATAGTCCGTGTTGTTGACTGGTTCTTTTCGTTGCATTTTCAGCTTGTTTCTAACAGCAAAGACCATCCTGTAACATTACCACGAAGTCCCTTTCCTGGGAATCACATTGCAACTGCTATCTCCTAAGTCGATATTCATGGGTACACTGATGCCGTATACTCACAAGTTTGCATTTGGCCACTTTAAGTGGGTGCCGGCTTACTGATGACTGCGTATAGACCATATGGAGTTCTTTTTGCGGAGCTACATAAACATCCACTTTCTTTATGTCATGTCAGACCTTGACATCGTCTACAAATGGTAATAAATTCAAATGGAGAATTCTAGAAAGATCGTTGATGGAACATGGGCATAAACGGGGTTTCAGTAAAGATGCGTGGTATGCACCCTTCAATGTACAACAATTGGGTCGGAAGTAGAGCTGCGGAGTCACAATCAGCTAACGTTGAGTGAGGAAGTTACTCCCTCAATCAAGCACAGCGATAACCATTCCATGGCTTTACAGCTTTGAAAGCAAATGCAGTGGTGTAGGCAGACCAGATAGACGGCATAGACCTCTACTTTGCATCTACTTATTCCGTTCAGGTTGCATAGGCTAGCACCAAATTTGTACTGTAAGTCCGAGTTCGGCGGAATCCGTGTCACTTTGGCACTATGATGACTTTACTCTCAAAGTATCCGCTGAGCGCATCTGTTATAATATGTGCTTTTAATTTGGACAGTACCGGGAACAAAGAACAATGATATGAACATTGACATATTACAGGTAAAAAAGCGATTGCTTTACAAGTCCCATAGGATGGTTGAAGTGAAATTAAACATAAGTGTAAATCGGCAATTTAGGCGTCCAACGACTCAGGTGCCCTGCTTTATTTAAATATTTTAGAATGCGTATTGAATTGTTATTGTAGTGAAGGGATGCCTTAAGAACAAAAGAAACGACAACGCTTACTCATGCGTCTCTTTCTTGCACTGATGTAATTGATGAATGCAGTTGTAGTATATCCGAACGATATTCCACAGCAGCAGCGTGTAAGTAGTAAAGCACAAAATCTGAGAATGAGCACCGTTTGATCAAGTTTAGTTGACGTAGACATCACTGATTATATAGCGTAAGGTAAGTATATAAACCAATCATCCAGACCTCTGTGAATACTGTTAGCGAAGGGGGGGGTGAAGAAACAACGTATGTGGGAAGAGCGTTCCAATGTTGGCACACACGAAGGGAAAAGAAATTCCGGCGGTGTTCCAACCGGCTTTATTGTGTGGCCAGCTTTAGCTGATGTCCTCTGAGTGTGGTATTGTTTTTCAGCTTTAATAGGTGACGACAAGAATGGTTTGAATTCCTCAGGATCAAATAAGTAATTATCAAGTCGCCACCAAGGCGTCTATATTATCCACTGCAGAACCCGAGGGTTTTCAGCCGCTATCGGTAAGAGAGATGAAACAGGCCCTTTACGTACTTGGTCGCCCTTCGTTGTGGCAGTTCAAGAGTGGTACTGTCGTGCTTTTGTCATGGCTGCCAGGCGTGGATGGCGTACTCAGAATGAGGCCGAATGTAGGCGTTGAGCATCTGAGAAAAGATGGAAGGATCAAAGCCCCCGAATACCCCCCGTAAAAGGTCAAAGTGTTGGTTAGGTTGTTTGGAGGCTTTCTGAGCCTGACGGGAACAGCCCAGATCTTGCTGCACTATCATGCCTAGATCCCATTCCGTTGAAGTGCGTTGCAATAATTGATCCCCCAGTTTGTATTCGCAAGTGGTTTTATGGCGTATGATCAACACCATGCACTTTGTCGCGTTGAACTGAAGCAGGTTCTGAGTCGACCAGTTGTGGACCCTGTCAAGATCATCCTGAAGTGCTGCATTGTCGCTGGTTGCGCTAATGGCTCGTCATATCTTAAGATCATCAGCGAAGAGTAAGGAGTTGGAGGTGATTACTGTTGCGAGATCGCTTACGTAAATCAGTAATAGTTGTGGACCAACTACTGAGTCCTGGAGCACTCCGCACTTAATGTGGATTGCATCAATAACGCCAGAAACTGTTGCATTCAGATGTTGTTGAAGCAAGAAGTTACCTATTCAACCGAGGATTGGGTCACCAATTCCACAACACTACAGCTTGTGAAGGAGGATACGGTGCTTCAGACGGTCAAAGGCCTTTGAGAACAGAACTTGTTGGGATAGGTGGAGCTGAAGTGGTGGGAATTGTGTCAAAAGCGGATTAGATGACGATTGGTTAGGTAAACTGCGGAAGAAGTGCTGCCGAAAGACATTTGCCACCACTTGTTTAGCCAGAGGCAGACCATCTGCCGCACGTAGAACTGGGATTCGACGCTGCACTCTCCGGAGCTATCCAGCGTACTTATACGGCATTTTAGG